AATTTAAACATTCCTTGCAACATTAAACTAATGTTTCAAAACCTGGAGCTGCAGCCTGAACCAGGTTGATAAAGACAAAATGAATACTGTGGTTAATAATTAGTGAGCTGTAATTTGAAGATGTAGGTAGTAGCTGTACATTAACTTTTTAATTGTCCACTCTGTTTTACCAGTGCAATAACTGGAGTCAATGTATTTTTGCTGGTGGAACATCTGAGCAATGGTCTTGACATTTTAAATTTTAAATCTATCTTTAAAAAAAAAAAAAAAAAGAAAAATTATTATTCTTCTTTTTCTTCTCAAATGATGTTTTTGAGCCATGTAAAAATCAATGAGATATATGCCTTTCTCTCTAAATGAGCAGAATCAATGACCATAATTATATATTCATAATATTTTTTATTCTGCTAAGTTAGTAATAGAAATAAAGGAGAAATGCATCTTTCTCGGGTAGCATTCAGAGAGAGCTTTAATTTTCATTTGAGTGGGTTTTATAGTGGGACCCTTTATTTCTTGCCTGTAAGATCCTTGCATGAAAGTTATTATGTAAATCTAAAGGTATCACATTACTAAAAATATTTCTAGATGTTTAGAGTCTGCCAGCTTTAATAGCTACATTATCAAAATGTGTTGCAAGATGATAATTATAATGTTGGACTGTTTGAAAGCCATCATACCTGGCAACTACGAACACAAAGTGTATTACTGTAATACTGCCAGCTCTTGTATTCAAAGAACTGCGCACAGATTTTGAGAAGATGCTCCATGCATTTTTAAATAGATTTTTGTCTTGCTACTGATCTGCCTAAAAAGAGTTTTCAGCATTTATAATATGAGGTAGCAGAGGAGAGAAATTTCCCTTTAAATAAATCACTAATTAGAGCATTAGTCATGTAAGTGTATTTGTAGAGCTGTGTTAGTTTACAAACTGAAGCATGTCATCTGCAGCCAAAGTAGCATATCTTTTGCAGACTAGTCATTGTACTTGTGCATGGCACCATAGCACTTTGGTAACACAGCATACAGTGTTCCAATACAGTACATGCATCTGTAGTAGCCATTCTTTGCAGCTAGATACAAGTAGTGGCACTGATTCAATCCATAGCAAAGCCCTCTCTCTATGTGATAAAAAAAAGTCATAAGACAAAGGAGAGCCAACTCATATATCAGAAAATGAGGGTGGTTTTCTGGACTTTCTGAGCAAATTCAATTTCTAAAGGAATCTGAGAAAGGGGCTTAGCTCAGATGGGCTTGACAGACGTTTCTGAGCTCAAGAGCTCTTTAAAAGAGCGGAGTATGGCACTGATTACTCTTTGCATAACTTCAGCTTCTACTTCTGAAATGTAAGATCATAGAACTAGCACTAATAATAGGAGCATAGCAGGCTGAACAGGTAAGTAGTAACAAGGAATAAAAAACACTTGTGATAAATGGGGAACTTCTAGGGCACTGAGTTCTGCCTTGATAGTTGTGCAGTAATACTGGACAATTAGCATGCGAGTGGAACTTGATAAACCAGTTGGATGAGATGCATGTTGAAGGTTACATTTTAATCCCTGAAAGTGTTACTAACTGTTTACACTACAGTTGGTGTTTGTTTTAGGTTTCTAAATGATCAAAACTGTTTTTAGTTGAACTGGGTTTGAAGTAGAATCTAATTTTACCCTACTGAACATACTATCCCTGTTTACTTTTGGGTCAGAGCAGCTCTAAAATCCAAGTACACAATGACCCAGTATCCTTTGCGGTACTTGGTGTCAGTTCTTTCCTATGGGTCCTTACCCTTGCTTCCTTTTCAGAGTCCTTCAGATTTCTTCTGTTAAGTAAAACCTCATTCTGCTTGGTCTCTGAGGAACTGTGATGCTCCTAGTTGAGCAGCACTCCTAAGAACAGGCAGACAAGTTGTAGGCAAGTCAACTTTTGCAGCTCTGGTGAATGATAACCTAGGGAATTGTGGCACATCCTGGTAATGCAGGACACTAAATAGTAGGTCAATTTAATTGACTATTTACCAAGACTCATTTGGGATGACTTAATTTGCCTTGAACAGTCCCTAGAAAGTACATTTTCAAATTCTGCAGTTATCTTATGTGCCAGTCATAACTGTTCACTGCTTAATTTAGCAGTGAAGTTAGCTGTTCACCTGTTTTCTTCTTGTAATTAGTAAAACATGTTAATATTTCAGGAATCTTGAACTACCTAAAGGAAACATTCACTCATACACCAAGTTACGACATGAGCCCAGCTATGCTGAGTGTATTAGCCAAAATGATGCTTGCTCAAGCTCAAGAATGCGTCTTTGAACAGATCAGTCTCCCTGGAATACGCAATGAGTTTTTTACACTAGTAAAGATGGCCCAAGAGGTTGCAAAGGTAAGCCATGAGACTGTTAAATCTACAAAAAGAGCTCTCTTTTTCCTTCCCAACCCATCATCAAAATCACTACTTCAGATCTGTATCGATACTGCCAATGTATTAAAATGTTAAAGAGGTTTTTTAGCATTCGTTAAAATTCTAAAAAAAACTAATTTGCAAGCTGAAAACGTGAAGGATTTGTGGCAGATGGCTGGCACAGTATTAGAAAAATTAGCTTACAGGGCTGTAGGTTCTGGCATATGGAAATACTTGTATAAGTTTAACATTATCCCTGTAACAGATCAGTTTATTAACACCACATCCCAATTGGAAACCTATCAAAACAGCAACTAGACACTGACTTCATTTTTTGAATGTGTATGTGGTTCATTTTAGCAGGCTGAAGTATGTAACTGTGCAGTTCTCCCAGAAATTAATTGACAAACTGACAAAATGTCTAGTTATGACCACAGGGGGGAGGGATTTTGTAAGCTAAATTGGATTTAGTACAGCATCAAGAAATCTACTGACTGTTTAAGAACAAGAACCAAGTGGGTACATCTACATGTTCATTAGTTATTGTGCATTAAGTATAGCACTTGTATAGTCAAGTACTAAATCAATGTGCAGTAACTGGCATTACTGTGCAGTAGTGCCAGCATATGCCTTTTTGGTGATGCTACTGCGCAGCAGCATGTCAGCATAAGTGGTGCTAATAGGCTACTGCGCAGTATTATTAGGCTACTGTGAAGTTAGCATCTTATGTAGACGTGCCCAGTGTGTCCTAAATTAGTCTGATCGTAGATTAAGTATTAAAGGGTCATTCTACTAAGAGGTCTTTTCACCAGGTTCCATCAGAAGTAGGTGATAGTTTCTTATGTAGTACCACTTCATCCCTTCTACATCATCAAATTGCTAAATGCTGATCTTGCTTTAACTTTCCTGCAGCTGGAAGTGCAGCTGGGGTTGGCTAAAGAGCCAGAACACCACAATGTTGTTTCATTGACCCTAACCAGAATCCTATGTGTAGCGGGGGAATTGTGGTGGGGAAGATTTGCTAGTGATTTGAAGTGTGGGGGCAGCAGAACTGTTACCTAGATTCAGCTAAAAATGAGAACAGTGGCTTTCTCAGAGAAAAAAATGTGAAAATTAATGGAGGTTGGCAACACCTGGGAATGGGTAGGTTGTACATACCTTCAGGTCTGCCTGAGTTAGTTCACATCAGTTCTTAAGCCCATACAAAGAAAATTAACCAAGGCTTGGTACAGTGTCTGAGGAATGCAGCTGTAGTGCTTCTAGCTGAGGAGGCAGCACATGCAGAGCTAGGTCAAGTATCTCTGCATGGTGCTGCTTTATATCTTCTAGATATACCTACAGTGCCTACTGTAGGCAAGGTACATTAGTTACCCTGCCAACCCTGAAGAGCCTTCATTGACCAAACTTATTTTACAGTATGAGATGACCTGAAGCCAGCTTTGAACGCTGTTTTCCAAAATTCACACACAAAGTAACCTATTTGGCTTACTAATGTATCTGAAAGGATAATCTGTTTATAGGTTATAAAACATTGTATACTATTAGACAATATTTATAGAACATACAGTAAAAGCACAAGTATCAGATATGAAGACCATACATAGCTGTACAAAATTATTCTATTTTCCAGGAGTCTGTTCAGTCAGTTTCAGATTTCATTTTCCCCTGATACGTGGTTTCAGTCATCCTTTTAATTTTGGCCATCCCAATCATAATGCTCTGTAATAACCTAAATTTTCTTTTCTCCTGTATCTCTCTTTCCAACTAACTAAAGGATGGTGATATCTGGATTCTCATACTTAGATTATATGTTTTATTGCAGGTTGGAGAGGTTTACATGCTTGTTGACACTGCAATGAATCAGGCTCCTGTCAAGGAGAACATCCCTTATTCCTGGTCAAAACTGGCACAGATAAAGTCAGACCATTACAAAGCTCTGGCACACTACTTTGTTGCTACCATCCTGAGTGACCACAAGTGTAAGAATACCTTGTTTTTCTGTATATACAATATAAACCACTAGTATTAAGAAATGCTTGTCTTGGGAGCAGGACTAAACATTGAGGGCTCCGCAGGTCTCATACAGTCTCTCTGTAAAATCCCTTGTGGCCTTTATCTATTCATCCATTTTCCCCCTGGAATAGAGGTGCAATGATTAGCTAAGGTTTGCAAAAAGATTTGAGAAATCTTATGCGCACTAAATTTTTCACATTCAGGCTGCAGACAGTAGGACTAGTTCTTAATGTAAAAGTTAAGATAAGAAGCTTGACTCTCCCCTGAACCCCCTGCTCCCCAGTTTAGATGGATGTTTCCAGAGGATTAATACTTCCGCCCCTGAACAGTCAACCTGAGTGGAGTGAGATGCATGGCTAATTTTATATGTATTATTTTAGTGCAGTCTACTGATGATGAAGACCAGCAGGAAAAGATCTGGTCCCAACTGTATGACCACATGCCTGAAGGCCTGACAATTCTAACCATTTTAAAGGACAAAGTTCAACGACAACAACTAGGTAATTTCAACCTCTATTCAAACTATAACACAGCAGAAAAGTACCATACAGAAACATTTTAATATTGAAATAAAAATATATTTTTCATTGTTTATAAAAAGGAGATACATACTGTGTACTGATATAGTAAAGTCCCATTATATCCCATATACAGAGATATAAATAACGAACATCTGCAGCTATAAGCATGTATCAGTTAAGACAAACTAAATTTTGGACAGGAAAAATAGTCTCCTATTCAAAATGACTAATGGGATGAATTGGGCTCTAAGTTTTATTGTCTAGCCTGATTAAAATTACTTGAAATGGGGAGCAGGATTTATCCTAATTTCTTTTTTGTGACCATGACTTTGAGAATAATGATAAAGTTCTAATTTTTGCAAATATTTCTACATTAGTAACATCTAGGCACCAAAGTAAATCAAATTAGTTCTTAAATTTGGGCTGAGCCTACAGGAGACACCAGTGTCTGAAAGGGGCATGGAGAGGTGTTATCCCCAATGGATGCAACTGTGCCAGCAGCAGCTCCTTGTACAGATGTGGTCATATTGGCACTTTTACTGGTGTAGCTTGTTTTGGTTGGGATGTCAGGCAGATGGGGCTTTACTATATCAGTACACAGCACAGCTTTTCTTGTATAAAGGCATAAAAGTGCTTTACCAAGATAGTGTACTCCCAAGATAGTAAAACAATCCTGATGCAGAAATGGTCTTACTTTAAGTATCATAGAATCAATGAGTTGGAAGGGACCTAGACAGATCATCAAGTCCAACCCCCCCCGCCATGGGCAGGAATGAGCACTGAGGGTGGGAGGGGTCACAAGACCCCAGCCAGGTGCCTATCCAGTCTCCTCTTGAAGAAGTAGTACCTGGTCTTGCTGGTGATCTCACAGAGGGCTGCTCAGGTGAATAAGGAGCACAAGATTAGGCTTTCAGCTTTTACTTCCTACAGGATAAAGTGTCTGAAGATTGTTAATATCAATTGTACTTTATGTAGCCTTTTGTTTCCAAGATTTCTAATAGTTTTTGCTTCCTCCAGGAAAAGCACACTTACGCAAAGCCCTTGTTTATCATGAAGATGCACTGAGAGCTTGTGGTCTGTGCAAAAAGCTTCGAAATATTGACATTCTTCAGGAGATCCTAACAGTTGCTCACAAGCGCTCACTACTCAAGTACGCTCAGCAGGAGCAGGAAGACGACTTCCTGAGTCTCATACAAGCTCCAGACATCCTTCGTAAGTATCTCCATCTAAAAATTAAAGTGTTTTAAAGTGACTAGGGATTTTTAGGCACATTTTTCACAAAGTGGTGGGCACCTTGAAAAGGGTCTGGAAGTAGATCTCAGACTTTGTGGTTAAAGAATGAGCTATGTGGAGAAGCGGGGTCTGGACAGTCTGGACATTTGTTAATTTAAACAGCTTTTCTGCTAATCAGATTTAATGTTTAGGAAATAATAATTAGATACCTTTAAAACATTTTACACATGGTTATTCATTAAAATGAAAGGCACATTTTTGGAGGGAACTCTTGCATATGCTACCAAGGAAGCTGAACCCATGGTAAAGGATGGAGGAGGAGACTGTATGAAATCAGAATAATACAGTAGGAGACTAATCAGGAGCAAAACTTGGGCATCATGCATGGAGTAGAAAGACTGGGATGGCCCCAAACATAGAGAAGCTAGAACTTTTTCCCAAAAGAAATCTCCACAGTGAAGATATCTGCAGTGTGTGGATGATGTGTTGGCATCCTTAGTTTCTGACAACACACTCAAATAATCAGCACTTTCTGGATTCATACCGGTGGGACAAGTTTCTAAGTTCTCAAGTATTTCAAAATAAAAATTACATATCAGCTATGTTTTTTGGGTTACTTCATATTACCCACATGCAAAGAACAACTTAAGATTTGGCTACCTCAACAGAACTGAAGTACTTCAGATAAAGGCCTTTGTCTTGCACAATACATATATAAAGAGCCAGAAACTCATTTTGCAAGTGTTGCCTTAAACAATTTTAACAGGTAGGAGGTGGAGAGGCAAGTCCAATAAAGGGCAAAAAGATTATAGAGTCAATAGAAGGTTCACTGTATGTACCAGCACAAAGATATCAGTAAAAAAAATGGTGCAGTCTAGATATTCTGGTATTTGCATATATTTCTAAGTTACAGACTGGAGCGATGAGATCAGATTTTTAGTAAGCCTTCTGAACTGTGTCTTCATATATTTAGGCAGTTTTGTTTAGAAGCTCTCCTGAATATGCATGAGTCTTCAGTGAATGGCTTTCTACATATAGAGGACAATGCTTAAGTTCAGAGAGCACATCTTTGTTAAGTCTGGTAATGATATAAAAAAGATTGCTAGCTTGATATAAGATATATGTAAGCTTGCACTATTTTTGTCCATCCTGTTAAGAGATGCATGGTCTCTGGCACTTGATCTAGCACTTGAGAGAACTAACATATGTTTTTGCATTTTGTTCTAGCTAAAACAGAACATAAAGTGGACATGGTTAGTCCTCAGTTGTCCAAGGTGAAAGTCAAAGACTTCTTTCATAGGCTGGTATGTGAAATTTAATGTACTATTTGTCACTTCACTAAGGGGTGTTCTAACCAGAAGGGGAAATGTGTATCACTTCGCTTGAAATAATGTGTGTGTTTCTGTAATGCAAGTATTTTGTTAACAAGCATTGAAAGGTTGTTCTTAATCTCAGACTTGCAGACCAAAGAATAATATGAGTAAAGTGGTCATTGAGCTAAATTTCTCCCCATGTCACTTTATTTGAGATGGGATTTGTCCCACTGTACATAAAGAACCAGAAGGAAATCATGCCTGACTCTGGGTACGGAGCTCTTTTTGTAACAGAATAGAGGTGTGCAGCATGAGGAAAGTAGTGATGTGCACACTCCACATGACACAAATCTAACTAACAGGAAGGAATAGGAGACTAAAACACCTGATGCTTTCTGGAACAGCCTGTCCTCCCTCTGAAGGGGAGGGTTGTGGGGATTACTGAATCCTGCAATAGTCACCTTGGACCTGGTCTAAATTGCCCAATGCATGCGCTCTTGCCTCACTCTAAGTTTCCCTGAAAGGTCCTGAACCCAGTGATAAGACTGTGGATTTCATGCAAGGTTTTGAGGTGAAGGGATACATTTCACTGACCTTTCTTCTAGTGAAGCAGGTGGGAGTTTAACATTCAAGTCCCACAGGCTTTATTAAAGATTGTAATTTAAAAGTGAGAGGCTATCATGGAAAGGAGACAAAGTTAGCCAACTTACTTGCAAGCAATAATGCAAGTCATTTGCCTGTTGCTTTGCTTCCTGCAGGGCCCGTTATCAGTGTTTTCAGCCAAGCAGAGATGGACAGCCCCTCGCACTATTTGTTTCCATTGTGAAGATGGGAAGTTGGGATTCACTCTTAGAGGGGGTGCACCTGTGCAGGTTCATAGTCTTGATCCAGTCTGTTCTGCAGCAGTAAGTAGAATATTGCTGTAGTTATATTTTTTTCTCCAGGTTCTTCCCAAGTTTTTATGATTTTTTTTCAGTCTAATTAAGATGTAGGCAATAGTAAGGCATTCAGATAGTACAGTGTGCTGTTAACAATTTAGTTTTTAAAAAGCTAAATCTAGCAAGTGGCTGGAGGGAAAAGCCTTTAAGAGGAGAGAACAGGGAGAAAACACAGTGGGTAGAAAGGAGGATTAGGAAGCAAAGGAGGTGCATGTTGGGGGGAATGGAAATAGACTGTATTGGTGCCTTTAACCTATACTTCCTTTTTTGTGCGAGGGGGGGTGGAGGGAGAGAGAGATGTAAAGACTGTTCTGTGTAGGTTTGCCCCAGTCCACAAGTGGAACTATAGCAGAGTGGGAGACTGAATCATGAAGGTTAGATATAAATAACAAATTGAAGAGTAAAATGAAGAGGGTGAGGAAAGAAATAAAAAGGTAAAACATTAAGTAGGAAAATGCTAGGGAGGTCAGAGCAAGCAATAGTTTAAAAAAATTTAAAGGGTTTTAGAAAAAATGTAGACAGAAAAATGGATGAATGGAATACAAAATAAAAGCTGAGAAGATTCAGTATTTATACTGGAATCACGTTAATATACACGAGCTTACAAAAAAGGGTCCATGTTGTAGTTGTCACTTTTTATTAAGGCTTTTGTGTCATGATATCAAGTTTTATACAGAACTGTAAAGGAAAATACCATTAGATATAAAACACTTGATATAAAAATGGGATTTATATTATTCACAGCTTCAGCTCATGCTACTATGATTTCTTTTTTAAATAGTCTCTGGGTCTGAAAGAAGGAGACTATATTATTTCAGTTGAAGGAATGGATTGCAAATGGCTGGGAGTGAACGAGGTCTTGGAGAAGTTAAAAAGCAAGGGAGAGCAGGACATTGAGATTCAGGTTATAAGCTGCCAGGATACAACAGCTTCTATGGTAAGTAGAGAGGTGGCCCCTTTTCAAGTCTGAAAAGTATTCAATAAAAAGGGGGGGGGGGGGAACCCAGTGTCTGCCACTTATTGGAATCTTTCTTAAAAGAATAAACCACATCTTAGCATCAAACCCCAAAACCCAGATGCTGAAAGGACTGTACTATGGACATTTTCTGCCACTTTATTAGTATCTCAGTAACTTCAAAATTGGAACCGGACTCCATGTAAAAGCTTTTTTTCCCCTGTTAGCTATTAAAATTAAGTCCACGTGCATATGTTTACTGCACAGCCAGGCTGTTATGAAATGGCTGACATGTGTGATCATGAGGCACACAGACTTTACCACACACTTTACCACCGCTTGTGAGAATTGCTAATTATTAGAAGCAAAAGCGCTCTGCCTGATGCAGTTCTAGTAACTGGCAGACATGGTATGTAACATTTGTCCAATCAAGGGCTGAGTCCCCACTGTACTAGTTACTACTCACACATTTTAACAAAAAATCCCTACCCTGAGATCTTTCAGTCAAAGTAATCCATCTCTTATTACTAATCAGACTGCCTAACTACAAACTCAAAGAAAACTGGTGGTATAGTAGGTTAAGACAATTACATTTTAATTGTGTCAGTTTCTCAAATATGCAACAAAAAAGTGCAAGCAGCAATGATGTTCCTTGTTCATATTTAGATATTGCTTTAATATCTAAAGATGGCTTGTTGGTACAGCTTTTGAGTTGGTGCAGGTCTGGAGCCCAAAGGGTGAAAGACATTCACCCATGCCCTCCTTTTTTTCCCTGACCAAAGACCCTGAATTAAGTGGTGGGGAAGGAGGTAGAGGGCAAGCAGTGATGGTGTTCATGTAGTTCTGGAGCTGTGCCATATGGACAAGCATACATTTTAGCAGTTTTTGAGGAGCCTGTAGCATACAAGCTCAATTGCCTTAACTTTGACCTTGAATGAAGTGAAGGCCAAGCTGGAGAAGTTTTGCTATCCTTATAGGGCTACAGAATCACGTAGATTCAACAGCTGCACAGTAGCATCTTGTATGGGCATCTTTTTGTTATCCTTAGGTTTCTGCTCAAGCCCCTGGTTTCCAGCATCCTCAACTTTCGTATTAGCTGGTCAAGGGTTAATGGAATAGTTTAATACTGCCAACCAAAGATATATAAAGTCAAAGTTACTTAGTTGCTATAGAAGCTTTAGATTATAAAGTAATGATCACAAGATTTAAAAATGTTAAGCTCAAAATAACTCATGAGAAATAATATCTGTAGTGTAATGCGATAAAAGCACCAGTAGTTTAGCCAAGTGTAATGCTACATACTTTCTAGGTTTTCAACAAACTTCAGGCACAAGCTGGCACTCAGTATTGTTGTCTTAACAAATGGCAAAGGCATTTCTGTTGTGCTTTGGCTTTGTAAATTTTTTCAGTTCCCTTCGTTTAAGGCCCTTTCTTTTGGTCACACTGAGCACATCTATGCAAAATGCTAACTGCACAGTAACCTGATACTACTGTGCAGTAGCATGTGGCAAAAACCGTGTTGAGATGCTATTGCATGGTAGCGTCACTTAAAAGGCGTTTGCCGGTGCTACTGAGCACTAAATAAATGCCCAGTAAACATGGTGTAGTAGCATCTCGTGAAGATGAGCCCACTTTGATGGAAATATTTTGCTGAAATAAAACCTTCATTTCCCCTTGCCAGCCCTTTGTGGGACAAAAGGCTGGAATGCAGTGTAATCACTTAGGGTGGGGCAGTGGATAAGTTCTTTAGGGGGATGTCTGCATCTTCTGTTGCAGGAAAGCACATCTTTTCCTGTAACACTGGAGCAGGCATGGTTGTAAGCCTGTAACTATGCAAACTGGATGCCTGTCCCCTCCATCCCTTCCCCAAAGCACAAATTCCCATAAATATGTTTATGCAAAACCCATTTATTTAAGCTTTGCAGATGAGTTCCAGGACTGCCACTGTGATTCTGAATGACAAAGGAAACTGATTGACAGAAGGATTCACCTCATTACATATTCTTTTGAATGACTTGCATCCACATAAGCAAAAATGTGAAGAAAAAATCAGCACTTTAGCTTGGCTTGCATTCAAGCAGACTGCAGCATTCTTCTTTGTTAATTACGCGGAGTCTTGGAAAACTATTTGCAAGCTTTGTAATCTTTTGTTATCTTCAACATGTCTGACCTCTCATGGATGACTGAGTTTTATAATGCTTCTTCTCCTTCCTTTTCCTACAGCATAATAAGAGCGCAACTTACTCTGTGGGAATGCAAAAAACATACTCCTTGATCTGTTTAGCCATGGAAGAGGATAAAATTGACCACAGCAAGAAGACCACGACTCCCAAAGTCCCTTTTCTAAGTTGGGGAGCCAAAAATAGGCAGAAAGCTGCAAGCACTTTGTGCCTTCCCTCAGCAATAGCTGGAAGTTCTCAAACAAAGAAGCTCACTTCTCCCTTTACACTTCTGAACACTGAAAGTTCATTGTACTGATTCTTTCAAAACAAAATTGTTGTCTAATGTGAAGCTTTCTGAACATGGAAGAAAAAAGAAAACCCATCTATGCAGACCAGAAATGTGAAGTATATATGTAAAATGTCCAGACATCTGTTTTCTTTAACACCTGTGTTAATCCAGTAAATGTACTGTATATGCACAGGAACATAACTGAAGATCAGAGGTTGGCATGAAATGCAAAAGTATTTTCTTAAAATCTAAACCTACATAGTGTTTAGACTGAAGGAGAGGTAGTGTGGGAGCTGCTGGGAAATCATTTGTAGAAAAATTAAAATTCACTTTACTTGAAACTTGATTCCTTTGGAATTTCAATATGGGCTACATTGCAACTAATTCTGTTTCTATGCAAGCTGCAGGTAAGACTTATTTATTTCAGTATCTATGTATGTAGTAGTACTGAAAAAAATGAAGGATATTTTTAAAGTTTAGGAGTCATAGGAGTCACTAATGATCAATTTAGATTAAAAACTACTAAATTACCTAGAGAACAAACAACAGGATCAGTAAAAGGACAGTTACTGTGCACTTACAATAAAACTTGCCTTCTAAAGAACTGAAAATAAGATCTCTCTATACATCCTATAGCACCACTCAGTTTTGCCCTGTCTGAGAGTGCTGAGAAATAGCACACTTCATCCTAGAAAAAGAAGCATCTTTGCAAAAGCCTTATGTTCATTTGAAATAGACCATGTTCCCAACTTGAAACTATTTAACCTACAAATTACAAGCTTTGTATTTTTGTTGAAATGAATGATAGTTGAGGAACAAATCTCAAAGCTGATTCTCAACATCTAAAGCCTAAAAATCAGCATGATTCAAGAGATGATCTGCAAGGCACTTTAAAGCTAGAGTAACTTGAAAAAGGCTTTCCAGACAGTCAAAAATAAAAGTTTACTGCATAGGACCCTGGGTGAGCTAGATGCTTTATAGACATACAAAAGCAGAAAGTAGCTAACAACTCAATATTAAACTAGGTGCAATTTGGGAAGACAGAATATGTCATTGTGTGTTAATTTCTCTGTAAGTTTGTTTTATTTTCTGATCATTTAACTGAAAGTTGCTAACACCTGTAGTGTTAGACAAGGATGCTATCTACAGAGTAGATATATGCTGTTTGATACTCAAAACACTCTAAATAATAGTGGGGAAAATGTGTGCATGCACATTTTGAAAAATAAACTGGGTACAACTTTGTAAAATTAGCTCACTTATTTTAGGTTTCTTTGTTTTAAAATAGTTGTAAATATTTTAAATTAACTTATTTAAGCTGCTGCCATTTACTAGTAGCATTTTCATCCTGCTAAAGATAAGATGATACAGTACGACTTACTAGTTTGACTGTTGACTGTGTTACGCGCATACCCTAATGTTCTTCACGTGTTTTATAAAGACCACAACTGAGCTAGCAAACTATGTTATCAAGCAAGTTGTGCAATATTGGAACTTGGTCTGTAAAGTTAACTCCATTGCAAAATAAAGAACTGTTAACAATTTTACAAGCTCTCTTTGGTCATTTTGTATAGTCCAGTTATCTTAAAATGAATAAATTCTATTTACATTTTAGGGAATGAATCATTCATGCATATTCTAAGATGTTTATTTTATCTAAACTAAACAAGATTGCCATCTTGGGCCACTATAGGAAAGGCAGCATTTCCAATGAACTTTGGTAGTAGGTTTTTATACTAGTGACTGCACCTTGGATAGAATACAGAATACTGAAACTCTGACATTGCATGCAACAGACATCAGTATTTATTGTAAAAGGATTTTCTAATAAGAGCAAGTTACATATGTGATGCATTCTTTACTAAATCTGTAACTGGTTTCCTCTAGCATTTTCATACCCCTCAGCTCAACAAAAGAGAATTAATATCATAATTCTCCTTTTTGTGGTTACTTTGCCTTTGTCATATAGGCCTAGTACCATGGTGGTGGGAAAAAAATAATCAAGAGGGGTGGGAGGAAAATGGTCCTGGAGAAAAATGGTCTTTAAATTTTTAATTTTAAAATCCAAAATGTTTTACCTCAGGTCAATCAAACAACGAATCAGACTCTGTTCCTTGCATACTTCACAAGAAACTCAATTTTTCTGTCAGTTCACAGGACGCTTAATTTGGCTGACAAGAGTTTAACCAAAACTGTTAAGATGTACCAGTTTTACAGCAAATGTTTAAAAAAACTGTGCAGCACAAGAAGTTGTGTCCAAGATGCATTTAAAACTGAGCATTGCCTAAAACCCTTACAAGTGCCTGCCCACAACAGACGTCTATGGCCATTATAAAATCCTTAAAACAGAGGTTTACAATAGATTAGCAGCTCAGCTCCTCACTTCATTAACACTAATAGTCACTGCTTTAATTACCTACTTTCTTCATCTACTTAATTTACTGAGCAGACAACCATTTAAAATATTGCAGGGGAGGCTTGTCCTGCAGCACTAAATAGATAAACAGCCAGAAAACACACGTCAGGCCTTACAGTTTTTAAAGCCTATGATCTCCAGAAGTGTGTGTAGGTGAGGGAAGTGGGAACAAGTGGAACTTCATATGAAATTTAATCAGCCAGCCAGCCAGAAGACAGCAATAACTCATGCCACAGTTCCAGGCAACTTGATGTTTGCCATTCAGTAATTTTAAATATTTCAGGCTAAATCAAAAGCTTACTAAGCCAGTTTACTGGCATCTGCTGTAGTAGCAGATAATATATAGGGCATAGACAGATGTAATAACTGTAGATTTCAAGGATACAGACAAACCGTTAAGATGCAACTGTTATATCAGCATGATTCTGTAGCAATACAAGTGTAGCAAAACTATTCCAATTAACCATTTCATTCAGGGTCAAATTTAGGGTGATTTAGCCAACTTAATCGCACCACAATCATGCAAACCTACTAGGATGCGTGGACCTACAGGGAATGGGGAGCCAAGACCCCATCCATTCTCCACCTCCCCCTGCTCCCCCTACCAACACAAAGGAGCAGCCAGGTGGTAGAGCCTGCTCTTTCCCTATGTTCTGACCAGAAATGCCCACACAAAGCACCACCTTAGGGATAAATTGGTACATGGAACAAGAGACAGCTCTGCCTTTAACAGAAGGAGAGGATGAAACAGGTCAGGTCGGAAAAAAAGTTTCTCTTCAGATAAGTAAAGGCCAGCATAAGAGGGGGAACTGAAGCACGAGTCTGCAACATTCTTCCATGCAATTTATGTGGATGCTAGACTAGGCATCATTTCCATCTTAATCTAAACAAAACAAGCTTGCACAACGTTGTCCTGGTAGCAGCCACCTTGTGCTATGGAGTAGGTGGATTAGAAAATGGACCAATGGAAATTAGAATGGAAATTTAACAATGAAGCAGCACTGTCCAATACAGCCTTTGTCCTTGCTTTTTTCTAAATGTTAGTTCTCTTGTTAAGGCAACCAGGACAAATGGCATGACCAAGGGCTGCAAGACTGGGTCACAAAGGAGGCTTATAAAACAAACCAGATGCAATTAATACATAGGGAAAGGGTGGGCAATTATTTGGGCCCAAGGGCCACATAGGGTTTTGATCAGCTGTTGCAGGGTGGGTCAGCAAGTCAGTGCCGTCCATCCCCACCTGCCCCACAACTCACCAAAACTTCCTATGGGGCTGTGGGTGGGCAGGAGCAGTGTTCAGGAGTGGAGTGGGAGGGACAGGAGAGGCTGTGATCGCATGCTCCTTCCCTCGGGGCGGGGGGTGGTGCTCGGGTGCTAGGTCTTGGGAGCCTGCTGTGAGTGAGAGGAAGGTGGGAAGCAGTCCCAGGCAGTGCAGTCTGTGCTTCCCCATGGCACTCCACACGGGGCTTAGCCCTGCCTGATCCTGCTGGGGCCCTCCTGCACTATGCTTCTACCAGCGACTACAACCCAGCTGGGTGCTGCTCTACACCCCCTGCCTCCAGTTCCAAGATCTGGAGTGGGAGCCCAGTGTGCTTGCTGGGACTGGTGCAGTGGAAGCAAGAGGAGGAGTTGCTGCTGGAGGCAGGGGGTGCGAAGCAGCACCCGGCTGGATGCAGCCACACTGGGAATAGCCTGCTGGAAGCTGCTCCTGCCCCAACATATGGGGCTTCAGCTCCAGCTGCCAGGGAAAGTGGCCAGGAGCTGAAGCCAGAGCCCCAGCACTGTGGCAGGAGCCACCTGGCTGAAGCTGCTCATCTACTTGCCTGGAATGGCAAGGCATGCCCCAGCAGGGGCAGGAGCAGGAGCAGGAGCAGCTTCTGGTGGGCTGTTTCTGGTCCAGGTGTTGTTCTACACCCCCTACTTCCAGCAGCAGCTCCTCTTCTTGCTTCAGCCACACCATTCCCAGCAGGTGCATGGGTCTCCAGCTGCAGATCCAGCAGCTGGGAGCTGAAGCCAGAACCTTGTGCACTGGGGTAGGCTATCTAGGCACCACTTAGCTGAAAAATACTTGGCCCCGCTGCATTGTGCCACACCAGGCAAGATCAAAAGCAGGAGCCACCGCTGGAGACAAAGGCATGAAGCAGCACCCAGCTGCAGCCACGCCGGAAACAGCCCCAGCATCTGTGTGCTGGCCGGGGCCTAGACCAACAGGCACCAGAAGTCCAGCGCATGCTGCCTCAGTGCAAACGTGCAGGGCATAGCCCCATGTGGAGTGCTGCAGGGACAGCCATAGTTCAAATCCAGACAGCTGGTAGGCCATATCCAGCCTACGGGCAGTATTTTGCCCACTTCTGACATAAGGCAAGATATACAGCTTGAGTCCATCTACAGGGAAACAAATGACAAGGTATAAGGGACTGCATACTCCGCTTCAGAGAAAAATCAAGAGAGCTCCCAGGATTTGTGCAGCGATACCCATCCACTTACATCTGCTGAAGCTGTGACAACACATGCACACTTGTGGGGAGGATGGAAAGACATCACAATCCATACTATTGCAGAGCAATTCTCTGTGTAACATAACGAGGGATGGCTAAGCAAGATGCCAGCCCTGGGCACCAACAGAGAGGGCACGTCATTGCCATGGCAACAGCAGCCCATGCACAGGGAGGTAAGACTCTTCAATGCTTGATGCCCCCCCCCCCCCTCCCCCCAGCAGCAACATTTCTAGTGATGCTTCTGCTCCATGTTGTTAATTTCTGCCCAGGGGTTTGGAGTGGTAAAGGAGGCCAACGAAACAAGTAACAAAAGGAGGGAAAAAAAGCAATCCCAGCACACCCAAAATAGATTCTCCTGCTACTCGTGTCACAATGGAGGCTTTTGGGATGGAGGATGCTTCACCAACAGTATGGTCAGAAATGGTATCATGTGGCAGTATTTATTTCAGATCAGAGGCACAGGGAGGAGCATTTCTTACTTTCTGCACCTTGAAACATGCTCAGCAAAATAGCTTTGCTGAATCTTTTTTTTCTGTTTTCCAGTTTGCAATGGAAAAGACCATTTTCAGGGTCTTTTAAGACTTCAGCACAAGTGCAACACTAAATTGCAGGCAAAACCACAGACAGCTTTTTCACAGTTACAGTTTCACATTCCACAAATAAGAGCATTGGGTGTCGGCACTGAGTGACACAAACATATCAGCACTTAACCTGCCCAGTAACCCCAGTCAGGCTGCCAAGATTTTAAAAGATTAGAACAAACTCTGAGGGTGAAGGAAAAGGCTGTGAGGGTACCTGACCATCTTGTGTTCTGTGGAAAGGAAATTTAATATAATTTTTCTCCGCTGATGAGTCAGAGAATAAAAAGGGGAATAATTTAAATACTGCAAGTTCAATTTCCCTTTTTGGTGACACGTCTTAGCTGTGTAGTGAATATAGGTTCAAGGGCAGTAAGAAGAGCTTTGTCACTACGAATGGCCTAACAGAGATATACAAGGCCCTAACATGCATACAGTTTATGAACATCCCAACACTCTTAAATACATGAATATCGAATTTGCACTAGGAAGTCAAACTATCCCTTTCCAAGCAGTTTCACCATCTTCCATAATATTGTCCCTCTCCTATACTTAGGGTATTGAATTCTAGTGCAGGAGATATTAGACCTCTGTTTGCATATAGAAAAAAAAACTATGCATGCATGTTTTCCATATATCAAAATAATATTCCATGAGCAAAGCTTAATCTAAAAGGAGTTAAAGTTCATGGCTTTCTGTCCTCACTTTAAAGCCACGGAAACAAAAGTTATGGAACACATTTTAACCTGCCCAATGTGGGCAAGCAGCACATTTCCACTAACAGCAACAGATTCTACATCTTCACAAGAAACTTCCTTCTGCCTCCAGCAGGTAAGGACACACACAGACCCACAGCAATCACCTCAGACCCGCTAGTAACAAACAAATCCAAGCACATGCGTACAGAATAAGAGTGCAGGGGAGAAAGGCAAGATTAATTTACAGCACATCTCCCCCCTTTTCAACCAATGCAACTTAACTAAGAGTGCTGGACTGGTTAATATACTTGAGCTACAGTCTGAGACCAGCTTGTACTTTGTTTCAGTATAAATGTG